CCTGCTCGGGCTGGCGCTCGGGCCCTGCTTCGCCCTCGCCCATCTTCGCGCCGCGCCTCAGCTGTCCTCGGCCCGGCGGCGCGGCGGGCGCGGGCCCATGGCGGCGGCGGGCGGCCGAGGAAAGTCGAGGGGGAGGGCGGGGAGAGGACGCTGAGGAGGGGGACGCCGAGGAGGGGACCCTGAGGAGGAGGAGGAGGAGGAAGACCCTGATGAGGAGGACGACGCAGAGGTGGACGCTGAGGGGGACGCAGCCTAGGCGGACGACGAGAAAGCACCCGAGATACCAGAGCGCACGCCACCGCCCTCGCCCCGCCCGTTCGGGCTGACGTCATCACGTCGCGCCGCACGCTGGCCCCCGCCCCTCGCCGCCTTGTTATAAAGGCAGGCGCCGGCGCGGCTGCGTGGTGTGGGGTTTTCGGTCCCTCGCCGCATACCGATGTTTGGGAGCAAGAGGTGGGAGCAAGAGGCTGTGGGTCCGGGCGTGACGTCATCGACCCACGCACTGGACGGATGGACTGAGTCCTGAAAGTGTAAAGCGCTCCCACAAATTGATAAACAACGAACACGATTCTAATGGGGCGGGGGAAGTGCAAGTGGCTCCCTCCGCAGACGCCCGTCGCGCGGAAAAGTCCAGGCGTTGACCTGCGGCAGCAAGAGCAGCAGCCCCCGCCTGAGTGTGGAAGGGCCCTGAAAATGAGGTCCATCACTTGTGACCGAAGGAACGCGTGGCCAAACACTGATACCTTTTTTTAAATCTATGACAAGTGCTTTTTTCCCCGTAGGATATCCAGTGTTCATCACTGGTGTACGGTCAAGCCTCCCAAGCACTGCGGCTGTCTTTGACAACTGACATGTGTTTCTCTAGATGTCACTATCGTCAGTGGGGACACAGGGTGCCAGGCAGCAACATGGGAACCTTGAAGCAGGCATGAAAGCGGAGACATGCTGGATAGGAGCCGGTGAGCTGCCAGGCCTCAGGCGAGGTGCACTTAACATTACAGGCTCCATTTAGAGCCTGTAATGAGATGTATCGGGGAAAGCACCAGCACTAGGTATGTTCATAAGCATCTTTGGCAAGAACCAAAGGAAACTGAACCTGTTTCCAAGTGTACCGTGAGGAGCAGTGTGTTAATTAACTGATTCATATCCCATGACAAAATCCCAGGGCACATGGCACCAGATTTTGTGAGGCTGGCATTGGGGAAAAGAAGGGCAAAGGAATACCGCCCCGCAACCCAAAAACTATATTCTCAATTTCTTATAAGAGCTGTATGCTTTCATGAGGAAGATACTGCATTCAAAGAAAATAAATTATCTCCAGTTTGGCAAGAATCTGAAATTGGACTGGTGCCTTTGGCCAGATACAGTTTTCAGAGGTAGTTATAGTGATGTGTCAACCTTTCTAAATAAGGGTATTAATGTGGAGGAGGTAAAACCAAATGAGGCAAGGGCTGCGCCCCGAGGAAGCAGCACTCCTACTGCTGCTGTGCCAATTCATGAAAAATCTGCATTTCTTGGCTGGCTGATGCACCCAAACAGAACCCCAGCATGGAAAGCATGCACCTTCCTGCTTAGACCACTTCAAGAAACTCTGTTCCTGAAATATTAAAGGTAACAAGTTCCTGGGCACTTGGACTGGGTGTTTGGACCTCGAGCATCCCCTGTAGACATTTTTTTAATATATGAATTTATTTATTTATTTATTGTTGGCTGCGTTGGGTCTTCGTTGCTGCGCACGGGCTTTCTCTAGTTGTGGCAAGCGGAGGCTACTCTTCGTTACAGTGCACGGGCTTCTTATTGCGGTGGCTTCTCGTTGTGGAGCACAGGCTCTAGGCATGTGGGCTTCAGTAGCTGTGGCTCGCGGGCTCTAGAGTGGAGGCTCAGTAGTTGTGGTGCATGGGCTTAGCTGCTCCATGGCATGTGGGATCTTCCCGGACCAGAGAGCAAACCTGTGTCGCCTGCATTGGCAGGTGGACTCTCAACCACTGCTCCACCAGGGAAGTCCTCCCTTTAGACATTTTTGATCTCTAACATTCAGGATGAAATGAACCAGCTCAAGGGAAGCAGCCCCTGCTGCCATTTTAACCTGCTCCTCCATGCCCACCCCATGCACGTTTTAATTTAGCCATGTAACAGGTACCCAGAAGAGGAAGGGAGAGGGTGGGGTGCAGCTCACATCTGTTGGCTTTTGAGTCTGAGTGAATGTCTGTGAAAACCTCCCTCTGTGAGTCTTTCTTTTTGAAAGGTACCTGGGTTAAACACTTATCTTTTGGAACTCTCAAGCAAATGGGTCTCCTTGATCCCTTTTCCCTGGTGACCTCTGACCTATGGAGAAAGATGGGAAAATGAAGACCAGCAAGGTGACTCAGCAGATTCTTAGCTGTGTAGCACAGCCCTGTTGGACCTGACAAGGGAGCAAAGGGAAAGTAGGTCAAGAAGCCTCAGTGGAAGAATGCACATGTCTCTCCTGGGATAGGGCCTCTCCACCACCTGGGTGAGATCTGGCCACTGACAGGAGGAAGGGGAAGGTGACAGGCAAGGATAAATTTGATCACAAATCTATCTTATTTAATGCACATTTTTTTTTTTTTTTTTTTTTGGAATTAATTATGTTCAGACCAAAGCAGATAACATGCCCTTGGATTAAAAAATAACAGGCGGGACTTTTTTTTTTTTAATTTTTTTGCAGTATGTGGGCCTCCCACTGTTGTGGCCTCTCCCGCTGCAGAGCACAGGCTCCGGACGCACAAGCCCAGCAGCCATGGCTCACGGGCCCAGCTGCTCCATGGCATGTGGGATCTTCCTGGACCAGGGCACGAACCCATGTCCCCTGCATTGGCAGGCGGACTCTCAACCACTGAGCTACCAGGGAAGCCCTAATGCACATTTTTAAAATGTGGAAATACACCAAAATTACAAAAGAGATTACATATGATTTCCCCCATTTTTGCTAGTCTGATGAACTTAAAACGGCAGCTCATCTTGTCTTATTTGAATTTAGCTGAATGCTAATGTGGTTGAGTGTTTCTTACTGTGTTTACTGACCACTAGGATCTGTGAATTGCCCAATTGTAGCACTTGCTTTTCTTTTGGGTTCTCTGACTTTTTCTTTAGGTAAAATCCCTCATATGTTTTGGATGTTGCAAGTATCTTCTCCCTGCCTGTGACCCCTTCATGAACTCTACGGGTTGGGGAAGATTAGACATAAATCTTTCATTTTGGGTAGTCAAACCCATCATTTTTATCCTTGGTGGCTTTGCTAATCATAAGGAAGATGGACTTTTCTATAGCTGGTGCTAGTTGTCTGTACAGAAACCTTACAACTAGATCCCTATGTCATATCAGATACAAAAATAATTAGAGCCATCAAAGACATAAAAGTGGAAAGCAAGGGAATTCCCTGGCAATCCAGTGGTTAGGACTCCATGCTGCTGAGGGTGCAGGTTCGATCCCTGGTCAGGGAACTAAGATCCTGCAAGCCACAAGGTGTGGCCAGAAAAAAAAAAAAAAGCAAAACTTTAAAACTTTAAGAAAACATTGAAAAATATCTTTATGACCTTGGAGAAAGAAAGTTTCTTACACAAGAATAAAAATTACAAACCATTTAAAAAAAGACAATGACTTAGTTAAATACCTTAAAATTTAAGCTTTCCAAAAGTAAAGGGACACAAATCAAATAGGGGGTGGGAGGGCTGGGGAAGAGGGAAATTTGTTGAAGTGAAGGAACTGTTTCATATCTTGATTGTAATAGTGGTTCTATAACTGAATGTGTTTGTCAAAATTCACAGAACTATACACTACAAAGAATGAATTTTACTGTATGTAAATTATGCCTTAGTAAAAATTAATTTTAAAAAATTATCCTTCTGTTTGATGAAAGACACATCATAGACTGGTGTCTTAGTCTGCTCATGCTGCTGTGACCAAATGCCATGTACTGGTTCGTTAAAAAGCACATTTATTTTTCATAATTCTGCAGTCTGGGAAATGCAAGTTCAAGATGCCAGTGTTAACCTAAAACAATTAAAAAGCCAGTTATTTTACCAGCAACATTGGTTTACTCAGAAGCCACAAAGAGTTGTAATTGGAGACATGCAACTATGTCCAGCAAAGGAAAGGAAATGCTTTTATAGGGGAGAAGGAGGAGTTGAGAGGAGCTGTCATAAACAAAGAGCCCATTGGAGGAAACTGGGAGTTCTAGGTGCAGTGGCTTTTCATTGGCTGAGTTGTGACAGTCTTTCATTAGCTGGACTGTTGCTGGTCAAAGAGAAATTGTTTCTTCCTTCTCCTGGGTAGTAAAGTAGTATCCCTTCCTGCTGGGACATGTTGGGATCTGTGCTGATGTTGAGTGGTATGTGCATGAAAGCTCCCCCGTCTGGCACCCTGGTTCCATTTTGGTGAGGTTTCCTTTCATTACTTTTCACACCAGCAAATTCCTTCCTGTTGAGAGCTCTCTTCCTAGCTTGTGGTGAGGGTCTTCTTCTAGGTGTGTCCTAGCATGGTGAAGAGAGACATCTCTCCCTCTTCCTCTTTTTTTTTTTTTTTTTTGCGGTACACGGGCCTCTCACTGTTGTGGCGTCTCCTGTCGCGGAGCACAGGCTCCGGATGCGCAGGCTCAGCAGCCATGTCTCACGGGCCCAGCCGCTCCGCGGCATGTGGGATCT